AGCTTTAAAATTCATCGAGATATGAGCTGTGAAAGCTAGGATTTTAAATTTTTTTAAAATGTCAATTTGCCTTATTTTTATTGAGGCAGCCCATATGTTTGTTGCGCAATAGTTAATAATTCCTTGGATTTCCCGGGTGCCAATTGCTTAATAAATGTCTTGGCGTTCTTGCCCCAAGCTACTTCCTCCATCAGAGACCCTAGCCCATAATAATAGGGTAATTGCGACCTATGATTTACCTGGTCAGAGGAGATTCTTTTACAAAGTATTGATACCTTTTCTTCTCAGGTATCTCCTGGAGGAGCTTTGATTGAAGTGGAAGAAATTCCGCTGCGTCGAATATCATGGAGAAATTCTGGCATCCTTTGACGAAGCCTCTGACCATCGCTCTCACATTTGGGACCCTCAGCTTGAATAATTTGGGTTTGTTGGTCCGTGAAATATAAATCACTATTGGAAGATACCATATACGTTCCTTCCAGGCTGGCTTTCTCCATTTGACTCTTAAGTAAGGCGAGAGTTTTTTGGATGTTGGAAGAGGTCTCAACGGGGTCCATGGTTTCTAATAAAATTTCTTTATTCTTCTTTTCTAGAGAGAGGTCCAGAAGGGGCTTTTTATAAAAGTCGCAGCTGACATAATACAACAGAGCTCGAAACTATTGCCGGGGATAATAACGCGACAACCGGTTTCCATGATATCTCTTCTTTAACACGTGACCATCGATCATTCGTAGTTTGTACACCCCATTGGGTAGTACATCATGGATATAGTAAGGACCCAGATTTTGGGGTTCTAATTTAGTACTGTGCGACGTAGCTAGTTTACTCCTATATAAGAGAACTTAATGCTGATCCCATATGACTCTAACCTATTTTTTTTTTATAATAGGCTTTTTGACGATCCTGTGCTTTTCTTATTTTGTCTACAGCCTTCTGTCATGATACTGTTAATTCTCCATATATCTTTTCAAGGCGTCAATATATTTGGGACTCCAATTCCTCTTCCGCATTAGGTTTGGCTGGAAATGTCACGAGGCTTGTCTTAATTGGAAGAATGGCATTACGCCCATACAACAAGAAGAAAGGGTTATATCCGGTGGTAGAGTGGCAGGTAGTCCAGTAAGCAAGTGGGGCAGGTGCTACGTATTCGTCCCATGATTGTTAAAATTGGTTAACATGCTTATTCAACACTCCACAAAGGGTCCGGTTAAACCGTTCAACCAAGCCATTAGTTTGTGGATAATATACCGTGGACTTATGGTGGGTGACACACATTTTCTTGCAAAGAGCATCAACCACCTGGTTACAAAAATAGGATCCCCTATCTGATAGCAATTTCTTGGGACAACCGTGCTGGCAGATAAGGTCTTCAAAAATAAAATCAGCAACGGTTTCAGCATCGGCTTTTTCGATAGGACGGGCTTCGGGCCACTTTGTAAAGTATTCAGTGGCTACTACGATGTATCAGTAGCTCTTGGAAGTTACGGGAAGCGGTCCTATGATATCAATTTCTACCCAATCAAAGATTTGGCTGACTTTAATAGGGTACAAGGGTTCCCTAGTTTGTGGATGCTTCTTCTTTTGACACTATTCACATGTTTGAGTATATTTCTTTATATCAGTGCCTATTTGAGGCCAATAATAGGGGTGGCAATTCTTTGATAAGTAGCTTGGAATCCAAAAAGTCCGGCGAGTGGGTCGTCATGCATACTAAAAAGGACGGATTAGACTTCATTCGTTTTCAAGACCCTTAAAGGTCGTAAAGTATTATGGGGATTAGTCTTGTAGAGCAACTGGTTGATCATGATGTAGTGCCAGGTCTTGTGCTTAAGGTCTCCAATTTGCTTCTTAGTGTAGTATGAAGGCATGACAGCTTTCTGGAGGAACTGAAGATAAATATTATAAAGAGTTGGATCCATAACTAATTTAGGTTTTTTTTTTTTTTTTTTCTTCTTATTTATTTATTTATGTATTTATTTAAACAATGCACAACTATGGGATAATGTAAGGATAATTATAGGAGAATTTTTACTAGTGATTATATATATATCACAGGAAAACTATGGGAAAAGTTTAGGATGATTATGGAATATTAATAAGAAGGGGCTGCCAGGACACCGTAACCTGGGCTGGATTATCGGATTTAAAAGATAAGTATATAGTTCTTTTTTTTTTTTTTTTTTTTCTAAATTAATTAAATTGAAATGTCTATTTAGATATGTGATAAACTGTTGATGTTGATATGGTGCCTTCTCAGCTTATAAACGGTTGTAAAAGAGTATTCCATCAGGGTCATAACCCATCTAGTGAGACGATTCTGTGGGAGTTTGATTGCGAATAAGGATCGAAAAGCAGAATGGTCAGTATATAGAATAAAACGGCTTCCGTGGAGGTAAGGTCAGAAATATCCAACAGCCTAGACAACAGCTAAACATTCTTTTTCAGTCATGGAGTAATTTCTCTTAGCTGCAGTTAGGCTTCGACTTGCATAGGAAATTATTCTTTTCTGATGATCGTCATCATGTTGGGCTAGTATAGCACCAAGGGTTTGATCAGAAGCATCAGTAAAGAGGATAAAGGTCTGAGAAAAATCAGTGTAAGCGAGCAAGGGGGCAGTTGTTAATTTTTCTTTCAAGGCTTCAAAAGCCTGCTGCTGGTCGGTAGTCCACCTATAGTTGAAGCTCTTTTTTAAGAGCTGATTTAACAGCACTGCCAGATTGGTGAAACCTTTAACAAATTTCTAATAGTAGGAGGTAGGGTTCCTCAAAATCAAATCAAATCAAATATTAGACTTATATGAATTTGATTTGATTTGAAAATCTGGATTTGAATTTGATTTGATTTAAAAAAACTGGATTTGAATTTGATTTGATT